ACTCTGGTGTCTATCCCCACCCCAAAGATCCCTGTCTGTGGGGGACTGAGGCAGATTTCCAGGAGATGGCACATGAACAACACTTTTTGTCACATCACTGATGGATGTTGGACCAGACTGGCCAAAGGAGAAAAGCTGGTCTTGAGCAAGTGATTGCGGGAAAAGTGGATCAAAGGTATTTTCCAGGAAGGGCAGGAGAATGTGTATTTCCCTGGGGACAGCTGAATAGCAGTTGGAGGGTGGCGGTAGGGAGGGTGTCTATGGAGATTGCGTGGCTGCGAGAAGGGGTCACTAAAAGAGAAGGATTTGGGGGTGAGGCGGGTGGAGGAGAGGGGAGCAAAGACCCTGGAGTGTTCTCCGACGCAGCCTGGTTAAGAGGCCTTGCTACGGTGCCCTGATGAGGTTCAGGTGGGCACAGCCTTCTAGAATCAGCCGCCCCAAGTGGAGCTCAAATACCCAGTGCCAGGAAAGAGGCTGCAGCTGCTCCGAGCCTCTAATTTAACCTGAGAACAGGGAGAGAATCCTCTTTAAAATATGCAAAATATCTTGAAAGAAAGAAAGGCAAACCAGATCGGAGCAGTAATTCTGTTGCTAAATCTGTCTGAGATGTTACGTACAAAGAACATTAACAACTGGGAGTGTTTGTGAGTTTCTCAAAAGCCCAGAAATCCTCAAGGCTCTCCCCAGCAAGAGTAACCAGTCCCCTCTTGTTTGATGTGCCAATTATAACGAGACTTTTCATTACTGAAGTAGGAACGCACAGCCGCCGATGCATATCGAAGCGTGTCAAGCGAGAAGCAATAGGAGCACACGCGTACACTTACAGCTACTTCTACTGTCTTCCGGAAATAGAAACACCTATAAAAACTCAGTTTAAGATCACAAAAACCCTTTAAAAGCCCTACCTGGGATATTGGAGGCTCCTACCTCTTCTGGATATGGTTAATTATATAACTTCCTCCACTGTAAATCATAGGGAACAAAGTAGAGCTGGTGAATCACACTCTTTTCACTGTAATGGCAAGACATAAATTACCATAAAGACCTTCAATCCCCAAAGTGATGCAATTTGACAGAATGAACTTGTCTCCTTCCCACTTGTTATTCACAAAACTCCTGTCTGAGAAACACTCATTTGACGATGCATATTCAAATGAAAAAACAAAAAGCTAAAACCAGCCCCAGCCCCTGTCCCCAGGGAGGTAGGCGGGGTCAGGGTAGCGAGGTCTTCTGATTGTTCAAGAGAAGCTGGAAATCCCAATGCTTTTAAAAGAATAAAACCTTCCGATGTTTAAATAGTGGAGATGAATGACAATTTCTTTGAAAACACAGAGGGGTCAACAAGACATACCCGGGGCTAAGTCTGGGGTTTGTGATCTCTGGAGGATTCTCTTGCCAAAATGGCTCCAGAACCGTGGGGACATGTCACCATGTCCAAACCCACTTCCAGGCACCTTGGATTTGCAGAGGCTGGGCACATCCTCCTGTCATTTCAGGGCTTCGCGCTTCCATGTGGGTTTTATTCTACCAGACCCTGCAGTCTGAGGCTCTTCTCTGTATTCATCTGCTGGGGCTGCCATAGTAAAATACATGGACTGGGCCTGGATGGCTTCAACAACAGAAGTTTATTTTTCATGGTTCTGGAGGCTAGAAGCCCAAGATGAAGGTGCCAGCAGGGTGGGTTTCCATGGAGACCCCTGTCCTTGGCCTGCAGATGGCAGCCCTCTTGCTGTATCTTCCCCTGCTTGTCTCACTCCCCCAGTGTCTCTGTGAGTCCTAATCACCTCTTCTTATAAGGACACTGGTCAGATTGGACCAGGGCCCAACCTAACAGCATCATGTTAAATTAATCACCTCCTTAAAGCCCTGTCTCCAAACACAGTCACATTCTAATGTGTTGTGCATTAAGATTTCAACATATGAATTTCAGAAGGAACAGGATTCAGCCCCAAACACCTTCTACCTCCGTTAGCCCCACCCCACTCCCTATTTTTCTCCAGAGGTGAGAGGAGTGGGAATATGGATGTGCCTTACCTGTAGAATTTCCAGAGAAGAATGCTTCCGGAAGACCTACCACCAGGTCACCCCCTCACTAAACTTGGACCACTGGACTGATCTCTCCACAACAGGCTCGGACTCTCAAACAGCCTCTTGCACCTCATGTACCTTCTCTGCAGGTCTAACGTGATCACATCAACGTCACAAGGCTCCTCTTCTATAAACCCTTCTGTGGTAGGTTGCTGCCAAAGATGGCTACTCACTCCTAGTCAAGGTTGCTCATGCCTGTAATCCCAGCACTTGAGGCTGAAGTGAGTCATGATCGAGCCAGTGCACTCCAGCCTGGGCAACAGAGGGAGGCTCTATCTCAAAGAAGAGAAAAAAAGATGGCCACCCACAATCCATCCATTGTTGAATGAGGACATCTCTTCTCCCATCTAGAGGTGGAAGCTATTTGTCCTTACCTCCTCTGGAATCTGAGTTGACTTTTTTTTTCTTTTTTTCCTTTTGAGTTGGAGTTTTGCTCTTGTTGTCCAGGCTGGTGTGCAATGGCGCGATCTTGGCTCACTGCAATCTCTACCTCCCAGGTTCAAGCGATTCTCCTACCTCAGCCTCCTGAGTAGCTGAGATTACAGGCATGTGCCACCACACTCTGCTAATTTTTTATTTCTAGTAGAGACAGGGTTTCTCCATGTTGGTCAGGCTGGTCTCAAACTCCCCACCTCAGGTGATCTGCCTGCCTCGGCCTCCTAAAGTGCTGGGATTACAGACATGAACCACTGCGCCTCCTGAGTTGATTTTTGAGACCTATTTTTTTTTTTTCTGACTTTTTAGAGAGAGCGTCTTGCCATGCTGCCCAAGCTGGGCTTGAACTCTTGTTTCTCCTGCCTCAACCTCCTGAATAGCTGGGACCTCAGGTGCACACCATTGTGCCCAGCTTTTTGTAACTTGCTTTGACCAATAGAACGTAGTGGGAGTGACGCTGTGCCAGGTTAGCCCTTAGGAGGCTGAGCAGCTTCCACTTTTGCCCTATTGGAACCCTACACCATGCTGTGTAGAAGCCCAGGCTGCCTTGCTGGGAGACCACGTGGAGGACAGAGATGCCCCAGCCGACAGCTCAGCCCAGCTAGCAGGAGTCACAAGAGTGACCCTAGTTTCGATCACAGAATAATGAGAACTAATCATCATTGCTTAAGCCACTAAGTTTTGGGGGTGGTTTGTTATGTAGCAATAGATCACTGAGATGCCTCTTCCCAGTTAAACTCTCCCCAGGGCTTCCTAAGCTTTATTTATAGTTTCAGTCACTGCTCAGTTCAGTGTTAGGGAATGAAATGCTTGCCTTCATGGAAAAGAGACATGAACTGCGCTGTAGAGCAAAGCTGCCTGCCTCTTACAGTTCACATCTTCTCTTGTCCTACTAGCTACATTCTTAACTTACATGTTACTATAGAAGACAGTTATTTTTCATACAGGAGGTGCAGGCTACATAGACAAAGACTGGAGACAGTCTTTACTTATTTATTTCTTATTTTTATTATTATTACTATTTTTGGGGATGGAGTCTTGCTCTACCACCCAGGCTGGAGTACAGTGGTGCCATCTCGGCTCACTGCAACCTCCACCTCCTGGGTTCAAGTGATTCTCCTGCCTCAGCCTCCTGAGTAGCTGGGACTACAGGCACATGCCACCATGCCTGGCTAATTTTCATATTTTTAGTAGAGATGGGATTTCACCATGATGGCCAGAATGGTCTTGAACTCTTGACATCGAGATCCACCGGCCTTGGCCCCCCAAAGTGTTGGGATTACAGGCATGAGCCACTGTGCCCGGCTGAGACAACCTTTATTATATGGGAAATTTTTGTTTTAACTATACTCCCAATGTGCTGTGTCATAGTATATTTATGAGGACATGAAAATCATTGTTACATAGAGATGCTCTGGAGAAACGGTGTCACTAGAAACAGGTACCAAACTCCCCTCTTGCGCTTTAGAGTTTCACATTGCTACATCCTACTGCAGCTGGAAGGTTTTTTGTTTTGTTTTGTTTTTTCAAGTCAAAGCCAAGGCACAGAGAAATTCAATGACTTAGGTGGACGCAAAGCATTGGTAGACATCAAGAGAGACTGTTTTATATATATATATATTTTGAGACGGAGTTTTGCTCTTGTTGCCCAGGCTGGAGTGCAATGGCGCAATTTCAGTTCACTGCAACCTCTGCCTCCTGGGTTCAAGCGATTCTCCTGCCTCAGCCTCCTGAGTAGCTGGGATTACAGGCATGCGCCACTGTGCCCGGCTAATTTTGTATTTTTAGTACAGATGGGGTTTCTCCATGTTGGTCAGGCTGGTCTCGAACTCCCGACCTCAGGTGATGCCCGTGCTTTGGCCTCTCAAAGTGCTGGGCTTACAGACGTGAGCCACTGTGCTCAGCCGAGGCTGTTATATTCTTGATGTCAATGTTGAGACAAGTCTGGTGGTGGGGTAGGCACTACGTGCAATAGGAAGGTGTGAGAAGGGTCAGGAGATGGCCTGGAAATGCCTTGTCTTGTTCATCTTGTAGCTCCTGTAGCGCCTTGGTAGCCAGTGTGTGCTAGAGCCCGTTGACTTTCACTCTGTGTCTAGAGCACAAATTTGCCTGGAGAAACCTGGGTTCACGCCCTGTGTCTCCTGCTCCTTGGCTGTCTGATGCTGACCAAATCGGTAAATATGCAGATGGCCTGGTTTCCTCACCACCAAAATGAAGCTAGAATACCCTACCACTCATAATGCTTAATAGCATTCTGCAAAACATTTAGAAGGAATAGTGTTCTAGAACACCACAGGATGCTGAGTGTAGCTTCTGGGGAAACTGAGGCACAAGAAGATTAAACGATTTTTCCCCAAGGTTTAGAGTCAGTAACTGACCAAGGTAAAACTAACGCCCAAGTCTCCCAACTTCCACTATTAGTACTCCTACTATTACTGCTTTCCACTTTAAAGGATTGTGGTAAGATAAAATTTATAGCGCTTGCTTTGGCAGCACATATTCTAAAACTGGAACAGTTTAAAGATTGGCATGGCCCCTGTGCAAAGATAACATGCACATTCATGAAGTGAGTTAAATTTAAAACAATTTTTTATATTAAAACATTGGCTGGGCTTGGTGGTTCACGCCTGTAATCCCAGCACTTGGGGAGGCTGAGGCAGGCAGATCACTTGAGATCAGGAGTTTGAGATCAGCCTGGCCAACAAGGTAAAACCCCGTCTCTATTAAAAATATAAAAAACAGGCCGGGTGCGGTGGCTCAAGCCTGCAATCCCAGCACTTTGGGAGGCCGAGGCGGGTGGATCACGAGGTCAACAGATCGACACCATCCTGGTCAACATGGTGAAACCCCGTCTCTACTAAAAATACAAAAAATTAGCTGGGCATGGTGGCACGTGCCTGTAATCCCAGCTACTCAGGAGGCTGAGGCAGGAGAATTGCCTGAACCCGGGAGACGGAGGTTGCGGTGAGCCAGATCGCGCCATTGCACTCCAGCCTGGGTAACAAGAGCGAGACTCCATCTCAAAAAAAAAAAAATAAATAAAAAAATAAAAAAATAAAATAAAAAATAAAAAACAGCTGGGGTGCTGGCTCACGCCTGTAATCCCAGCTACTCAGGGGGCTGAGGCATGAGAATCACTTGAACCCGGGAGCCAGAGGTTGCAGTGAACTGAGACTGTGCCACTGCACTCCAGTCTAGGCAACAGAGCGGGACTTTGTCTCACAAAAAAGAAAATATAATAAATAGAATTATAGAACTTAGGGAATATGAAAACCCAATAAACTGAAAGTCCAAAAATGACGTTGTTGTTTTTAAATGTCCTTTGCCCATCTTGTATTCTCGTATGTCATTTCCGTATACGCCGTGCCTTACTCAACACAGGGCCTCCACGGGAAGTTGGGAGACTTGGGTTTTAGTTTTACCTCTGCCAGTTATTGACTCTAAGCCTTGGGGAGAAATCATTTAATCTTGTGCCTCAGTTTCCCCAGAAGCTACACTCAGCATCCTGTGGTGTTCTGGAACACTTTCCTTCTAAATGTTTTGCAGAATGCTATTAAGCATTAGGAGACAGTTGCCCAGTAACTTGTGCTGAGGAACAAATGACCATGGGCATGGACAAAATTATTAAAATGATCTTGAACAAACTATGGTCGTATCAATATACAACACTCTTATGTAAGTAAAACAAAATTGGGAGCTCTGTGAATGAGAATATATTAAAGTACACCATTAGAGTTATGTTGATTTTAAAAAAATTAATTCACAACTTCTCAGACTCAGACAGTACTATCCCAGTGGAATGAGAATGGCATAGATGATTAAACATTATCCTTTTTTTATCCTCAAAGAAATATTTTTTGGCTGGGTGTAGCGGCTCACACCTGTGATCCCAGTACTTTGGGAGGCTGAGACTGATGGACCACCTGAGGTCAAGAGTTCGAGACCAGCCTGACCAACCTGGTGAAACTCTGTCTCTACTAAAAAATACAAAATTAGCCAGGTGTGGTGACGCATGCCTGTAATCCCAGCTACTCGGGAGGCTGAGGCAGGGAGAATCTCTTGAACCCGGGAGGCGAGGCTTGCAGTGAGCTGGGATTGTGCCATTGCACTGTAATCTAGCAACAAGAGCGAAACTCCATCTCAAAAAAAAAACAAAAAAAAAAAGAAAAATATTTCGTAATATGATATTATTTTTCTTTTTAAAACAGAACTGACATAACTTTTTAAGTAGAGAATTATCTATTTAAAAATGTTACATCTGAGTTCTTTAGATTTCAGATTGTATTTGAACTGAACTTCCAAATTGTTGCTGTGTGGAGGAATGTCTTGATTCAGCTCTTTGTCCATGGCCTCTGCCTCAGGAAAGAAAATGCATTCTTTGGAGAACATAAAGCCTGCTATGACCCTGCTGAGTTATAAATAATCTGTGCTATCCAGAACCGGTACTCGATTTGAAAATATCATTTTAAAGACATCATTTGTTGTTTGCCTACCATTTCCTATTTCATACAAAAATTGGAAAACTAGAATAGCAAGTCCAGTCCTCCTGGGCCTTATTTCCTCATTTGTTTGATGTCTCCTTCCAACTTGAAAATGCTGTATGTCACTTATGTGTGATATGAAATGAAAGTGAGCTACCAGCCTTCTGTTTTGATAACTTTTGAGGGTGGAGAGGAGAAAATATGACATCATTTGAAATTTTAAGAGGCAACCAGAGTTTGCATTAAGCAACTGCTATTTGCAGGCAACATCCACAAGCCATTACTTCCCATCCTTTGGCCCGTAATGACTTTCTTAGCTTTCATTCCTCCAAATGGAGCTGTCAAAGGACCATCAAGCCAATCAAATATGGAGGATAAAAAAAAAAATCCATGTGGGATGTGACATTCAGAATGGGGAAGCAAGCTTAGCAGACCCTCTGCAGCAAAACACAACTCGAGTGGTGAAAGCCATAAAAAGGCAGTAATTTAAAGCCCCTGGAAATTGTTCGAAGGGTACACAGGAAGTGGAGAAAAAGTCCTTCAAGAAAATCTATTAAACCTTCGTAGGAAAGGTGAGAGTCTGTGGCATTTGAACCACCTCCTGCTTCCTTACCCACTGCACCCAAGCTCAGGGTTAATGGAAGTGCTGCCTGTTCTGCACCCTCAACTCTGGACAGGTGTGGCTGAGAAGATGCGGGCCCTCTTTTCATCCCCACTTTCCTTCTGCCAGTCTGACGCTATGGTTTCACCCCTCCTGCCCCCAGCCCTGTGTTGCAGAAGCTCTATTCCAGGCAGTACCAACCTCCCTTTCCCCATCTTGCCTCTCTTGCTTGTAGGATAGAAGTTCTACTCCAGGTGAAGCAGGCTGAGAGTACTAGCGCCCTGTCGCCCCCACCCCAGCTCACTCACTAGTGGTAGGGAGGTTCCACACTGCAAGGGATAAGCCAAAAAGAGTGGGCTTATCCACAGCTGCCACGGCCCACACGCCTAGTACGCACTTCCAGGTCGGGGCTTCATCACTCTGGGAAGAGTGGGTCCCTGACCTCAGCTCCTTGCAGTCTTGCACAGGTTCTGCCTGGGGTGGGAAAGGCAAGCCAAGCTGACAAAGAGCCCAGCAGCTGTCTGAGGGACTGACTCTGGAACACAGAATGGAGGGCTCCACGCCTAAGGGTGTTGGCAAAAACAATGTGGATCTTGGTGGAGAGTAATTGAGAGGAGGGTAGTAGCTCTGCCACAAGAAAGACAGCAGAGCGGCCAGAAGTTTAATAGAAGAGAGAAGCAGGAAGGAGGCAGGGAGAAGCCTCCTGAATCACAGCCCATTCTCTGGCTGGGAAGGCAGTGCACATGCGCCAGGCTGCACCCAGCCAGCAGCCATCTGAGCAGGGTGTGGAGCAGACTCCAAAGCCTTCTCCAAGTCTCCACCAAATCCTGCAGCCCAGGGATGCCTCAGTGACTGAAGGGGCTTAAACACAACCTCTGACCAAACACTGAGTAAAAAATGCTCTGACCCAGGTGCAACTCCTAGGAAGCCAGGCTTTAAAATACTATTACAGGCCACGCAGGATGGCTGGCGCCTGTAATCCCAGCACTTTGGGATGCTGAGGCAGGAGCAAGGAGTTGGAGACAAGCCTGGGCAACAAAGCAAGACTTCATCTCTAAAAACAAAAATTTAAAAATTAGCTGAGCACGGAGGTGCACCTCTGTAGTACCATCTACCAGGGAGGCTAAGATGGGAGGATCACTTGCACCTTGAGGTGGAGGCTGTAGTGAGTTATGATGGTGCCACTCCACTCAGCCTGGGTGACAGAATGAGATCCTGTCTCAAAAAATAAACAAATAGAAATAATAAATAATAATACTGCAGTCTTCCTTGGCAGTCTGGAAGACTGTGTACATGTCCAAGGCTGCACCTTTCCAGGGTATGGGCAGGGTGAGCACAGAGCTCTAAGACACTGGAGCATGAGAGAAAAAGGTGACCCCTCCCCCACCGCTGTGCTACCAACCTTCAAGCTGCACACATTTACAACCATGAACATCCGATTGCTAAGCAGACTTAAGTACAATCTTTGAACAACAAGAAGGTCACCTGCCAGAAGTGATTCCCAGCCTAGGTGGCCAGGCTACAAGAGAAATCTGAGATGGGATGTCAGAGGTTGCACACTGCAGCAAGGGACACAGACTTTGCGGGATTATTTCAGTCAAGTCACTAAACAAATAAATAACCCTAGCAAACAATAACAGCCACCACTCCTAGCTGTGCTGTCGGTATCCACAGTTGCTACAAAATACTACTTAAAATATTCAGTTTTCAACAAAAAATTGCAAGACATGCAAAAACAAAACAAAACAAAAATAAGAAAGTGTGACCCATACACAAGAGAAAAAAAAAAAAAAAAAA